CCTACATGTCTCTTGAGACTATTGTCCCTAGCCCTCAAGCCCAGTAACTGAGTCCCACGAAGTATTTGGTTATGGCTAAGAAGTTTTCCTGAATGTTCTATCAAATGAATATATTTATAGCACATAGAAATATGTATGTAGAAATATCTACTGCCAAACCTATATATGCACATGATTGTACTTCCATATGCCATCACATACCTGTTCAGTTTGCATATCTACCTATGTATCCACTCGTAAGTTATTGTTGTTATTACTGTTTTTCAGGATTTTTTATGTACTTTGTTTACCCTTAATGCCTTTTACTTTTGTGTACCTCTCAGTGTCTTCTTTTATCTTGGTCGTGTTATGCTGATTTTCTTCAATATTATTTTCTCCAACAGACTTTTTCTGGCTCCTCAGTCATTTAAATTGCCTTAGGAAGTGCTCTTATAGCACTATGAGATGTCATTATTTTTATAATTTGTTATTCTAAATACATGTTTGCTTACCTGCCTGACTTTTTTGGACAGTAAACTCACTGCAGGAGACAGTGTTGGTCTTGTTCATCATTGCATATCTGGCATCTAGTACAGTACCAGACCTTAAGGTGTATTTACCTGCCCTTATGGAGTTTATTTATTGAATGAATGAATGAACGAATGAAATTTGCACACTCCTTGGCAACCTTACCTTCTCTCATGTCTTCAAACACCACATATAAGATGGTCACTGCCAACATATTTTCTTTCATTGTAACCCCTTGCCCCCACCAATCAATGAAGAAGGCATTTTACCCACAGTTTCCTAACATAAGTCTCTCTCTCCAGTGGAGGGTTGAAGTCTCATTGTGCTGGGGAGTAATCTGCGGGAGGGGGAGGGGAGTGGCGTTTTGAAATCTGATGAATTAAGAAAGATATAAAAAATTGATAAAGATTAGTCTGCCTATTTCTATATGCTTCCACATAGCATGTGTTTAAATGAATTGGCCTATAATTTGTCTTCAAATGCTGACATTTAACTCTTAGGCTGTATAATTGCACTGGCTTTCTCATAAGTAAAATTCATATTCTGTGTCCAGGCTAATATGTTCACCTACTATAAACATTACTGCCTATGGTAACAGCTAGAATAAAAAATTCTTTTTATATATATCATAGCTGGCAGAGACTCTTGGGACCACCACAAATCATTCCTGTCTTTTGGAGTTTGCTGACAAAAAGCATACAAATGTAAAAGTAGGATAGTCTGACATGGGCTCGGTTGAATTTGAAGACCTATTAGCTTATTTAGATCACTGTTTATACCATTGCTATTGTTGTCTTTTAAAAGACGCTGAGTATCCAGACAACCTCTTCTAATTAATGCATTCTTTGAGTTTCGTCACCTATTCTTTAATTGAAAACCAGCTCCTCTTCTATAACCCACTGGTTCCTTTGTGTGTGTGTGTGTGTGTGTGTGTGTGTCTGTTAAAGGTTAATAATGAAATTAATGAAGCAGTTGGTTATTTATGTAGTCATGAAGGGTAAAACTTACTAGAAGAGGTATCTATTCAGAAGCATTGATTAGGTTATTATTTAAAAAATACTATTCCTAACCTTCATCATGATGACTTATTTAAAAGTATTTATACAGAATAATCTCACTGGACAATAATTCTTCTACCAGTAGAGCATATATAATTAAGTATAAAGGGGAGGTTCAGATATGATCTGAAGGAAAAAAATGGTACCTGGGGAGGAAGTTACCATAGTGAGAGGTAAAGAACAAAACTATCTCTTGCATAGAAATATCTGCCTTTCAGACACCTGACCTAGGTGGCTAGGTGACCTTCCAATTTTGAGCACTTTGCAAATTTGGAGTTGCTGTGGGAGAGAATACCACAAGTTAGGTTGCCATGTTTTTCATCCTGTAATACAAACTGTAAAAAATGGAGGGAGATATGTGGGTAGAATATTCCCTGGTGATAGTTTTATTTATGAAACATTAATGTCTGACATTATGCAAAACCAAACAAACAAGGCAGAAACCTAATGATAATCCCTTGATGTTGAATATAGTTAGAACTTTCTGTGTGAATAAGGCAGCAGTGATTCTTAACCAGAACAATGTCTGGTTTAACCCCAGGTCTGTTTTTCATTACTATAACCACTTTATTGCGATGATTCATATACTATAACATTCACCCTTTTAAAGTGTACGATTCATTGGTTTGGAGTATATTCACAAAGCAGTGAAACCATCACCACTGTCTTATTCCAGAACATTTTCAGTACATCCCCCTCCCCCAGCAACAAAATCCATACCCACTAGCAATCAATCACTCCCCATTCCCCCACACCCAACCCCTGGCAACCATTAATCTACTTTCTGTCTACATAGTTATGCCTTTTGGACATCCGATACAACTGAAATCATACAATATGTGGCCTTTTTTGTCTGCCTTCTTTCATTTAGCATAATTTTTAGGGTTCATCTACATTGCAGCATACATCAGTACTTCAATTTTTTTTTTTTTTATAGCTGAATAATAAATATCCCATTGTCTAGGTAAACTAGATTTGGCTTATCCATTTATTTGTTGATGGTCATTTGAGTTGTTTGTACTTTCTTCAGTATTATGAATAATGAGGGTCTGAATATGCATGTAGCAATTTTTGTGTGAACTCATTTCTTTTGAGAATATACCTAGGAGTAGAATTGCTGAGTCAATATAGTAATTCTATGTATCCTTTTTTGGGAAATTCTAAATTGTCTTCCAAAGTGGCAGAAGCATTTTACATTCCCACCAGCAATGTATGAAAGTTCTAATTTCTCTACATCCTTGTCAACACTTTTCATTGTTGGTCTTTCTATTATAGCTCTTCTAGTAGATGTTGAGTGGACTCTCACTGTATTTTTAGATTTGCATTTCCTTAATGGCTGTTGAAGGAGCTCTGATAGCATAGTGCCCAAGGCACTTGACCGCTAACCAGAAGGCTGGCGGTTCAAACCCACCAGCCACTCCTCGGAAAGAAGGTTGGGCAATCTACTTCCATAGTGATACCACCTCAGAAACCCAAGGAGGGGTCGCTATGAGTTGGGTCCGACTCGAGGGCACATCACAACAACAACAACAACAATGGCTGTTGATGTTGAGCATCTTTGCATATGCTTCTTGGTCATTTGTAGATTTTGTTTGGGGAAATGTCTACTAATGTCCCATGTGCATTTTTTAATTGAGTTAATATTACTGTTGAGTTCTAAGAAGTCTTACATATTCTAGACATAAGTTCCTTACCAGATATATGATTTGCAAGTATTTACTCTCATTCAGTGGGTTGACTTTTCAATTTCTTATAGTATCCTTTGAAACAAAAGATGTTTTAATTTTGATGTCCAGGTTTCCTACTTTTTGTTGCTGTTACTTCTTGTGCTTTCTGTGTCATATTTAAGACATAAAGGTAACAAAGGTTTGTGCCTGTGTTTTCTTCTAAGGGTCTTACAGTTTTCACTCTTACATTTGAGTCTTTGTATATTATGCAAGATAGGGGCCCAATATCATTGCATGTGACTACAATTATTTTTATTGTGATAAAATATATGTAATATAAAATTTGCCATTTTAACCATTTTCAAGTGTATAACTCATGACACTAGTCACACTCACCATGCTTTTTATCCAAATGTTTTATCCATCACAGCTGTTTGTTTCCAAAACTTTGTCGTCAGCCCAAACAGAAACTGCATCCATTAGGTACTGCACATCCCTATTTCCCCCTCCCATTCAGCCTCTGACAACCACTAATCTGCTTTATTTTCTTTATAGATTTACCTATTCTGGATATTTCATATACATGGAATCATACAATATATGACTTTTTGTGTCAAGCTTCTTTCACTTAGCATAATGTTTTCAGGGTTCATCCAGGGTTCAAGGTAGCATGTATCAGAATTTCATTTCTCTTTATGACTGAGTAATATTCCATTGTATGTATGTGTGTGTGTGTGTGTATATATTTGTTTATCCATCCAAATGTTGATAGACATTTGAGTTGTTTCCACCTTTGCATCATTGTGAATAATGCTTCAATGAGTACAAGTATCTGTTTAAGTCCTTACTTTCAGTTCTTTTGGGTATATACTTAGGAGTAGCATTGCTTCCTATGGTAATTCTGTGTTTAACTTTTTAAGGAACAATTGCACTATTTTTATAGCAGCTGCACAGTTTTACAGTACCACCAGCAGTAAATGAAGGTTTCAGTTTCTTCACATCCTCAGCAGCACTTATTTTCCTTTTTTTTAAATAGCTATCCTAGTAGATGTGAAGTGGTATCTCAATATAGTTTTGATTGGCATTTTCCTAATGATGGTAAGCATGTATCTTATTCTGTGTGCTCACCGGCCATTTGCATATCTTCTTTGGAGAAATGTGCATTCAAGTCCTTAGCCCATTTTTTAATTGAGTTGTTTGTCCTTTTGGTGTTAAGTTGTAGGAGTTCTTTATATATTCCAGATATTAAATTCCTACCACATATGATTTCCAAATATTTCATTGTATAAGTCATCTTTTTTACTTTCTTAATATTGTCTTTTGAGGCACAAAAGTTTTTTTATTTTGATGAAGTTCATTTTTCTTTTGTTTCTCATGATTTTGCTGTTGTGTCTAAGGATCCATTGCCAAATACTAGGTCCTGAGGATTTATTCCTATATTTTCTTCTAGAGTTTCATGGTTTTAGCTCATGTGTTTAGGTTGTCGATCTATTTGGGGTTAATTTTCATACGTGATCCTTGCATTTGTTTTTAACTTTCTCTTTAGATAAGATGGTCATTGCTACTGTCTTTGTGAATTAATTTTTCATGATTCTTGTTGGGCTACATGTACAGTTGTTCATTTGAAGACTACACTCACCTGTTTTCTCACCAAATATGGTTGCATTGTTTTTTTCTTCTGCCTTATCTATTGGAACCTGGAAAGCAGTACTGATGGATGCAGAATGAATTAGTTTTTGAAGTTTTTTCCCTTAATTTGCAATCTCACCTCTTCAGCTACAGTATAAAGAATGCCAAGAACTTTTAATCCTCTATCAGAAATACCTGTCAGAACAGCAGGAGAAGCTCACCATGTCACTATCAGAACTTGGTGCTGCTAAAAAGCAGGAGCAACAGGTAAGCATCTTCTAAACTGTTCTTTAATGCATCAGTAAGATGTGAGAAGAATTATTTTCCTTTTCCTTTAATTGTTTCATGGTATATAATGTTGTTTTAAAACATGTAAAGCACAGCGTGTGATTGAGTTAGTGTCTTTGACTTCTTTCTTTCCTTTCTCTCTCCTGTTCCTGGGGCCCAGGAGTCAGGAATGATTACTCGACGCAGGCTGTGGGTCAGTGGGGAAGCTCCTGGCTGTGCAAAAGCACAGCAGGAATGGTAGAGAACTCAGTGCTGTGTTGCTTAATGAAGAAGATCACATGGGCTGCTTGTTATTTAGCGTCCTTATGGAAAATGTTAAGTCTTTCCTAACTAAGGTTTACGTTTTTAGAATAATAATAAAAGTAAAAATTGGAACATTTTGCATGATAGTGTGTGTGTGTGTATATATATGTGTGTGTGTGTGTGTGTGTGTGTATGTTAATCACATAAATATATATGAGTGTTTATATTTAAACATAAATATAACCAAAAAAAACCCACTGCCATTGAGTCAATTCTGATTCATAGCAACCCCTATTGGGTTTCCAAGGCTGTAAATCTTTATGGAAGCAGACTGCCTCATTTTTTTATTCCACAGAACGGCTGGTGGGTTCAAATACCAATGTTCTGGTTAGCAGCCAAATACCTTAACCCTTATACCACCACCGAAAAAGAAAGAAAAACAACCAAACTAACTGCTATCAATTTGATTCGACTCATAGCGACCCCTCCTTGGGTTTCTGAGGCAGTATCTCTACGGAAGTAGATTGCCCAATCTGCCTTCCAAGGAGTGGATGGTGGGTTTGAACTACCAGCCTTCTGGTTAGCAGTCAAATGCCTTAGGCATTATGACACCAGAGCTTCTCTACTTTACTACCAGAGCTCATATCTTTATGGAAGTAGATTGCCTCATTTTCCTCCCATGGAGCATCTATTGGATTTGAACTGCCAGCCTGGTTAGCAGCTAAATGTCTTACCCATTATGCCATCAGAGCACCTTTTGTCACTGACTGCCATTGAGTAGATTCCTACTCAGAGTGACCCTCATTGGGTTTCCAAGATTATAAATCTTTATGGAAGCAGACTGCCTCATCTTTCTTCCGAAGAGCAGCTGGTGGGTTCAAACCACCAAGCTTTTGGTTAGCAGCCAAATGCCTTCAACACTACACCACCAGAGCATCAAATGGTATTTATTATACAATTAAAGCACAGAACCCTGCCATTTGTGATATGAATCAGACTCAAAAGATACTTCTTGCCCCTTAGCAACTGATATTTGAGGACATTTTCAGATCCATATTAATTTAAATATTTAAATGGATTAAGATGAGCCTTCTGTGTATTAAAACATTTATGGAAAGATCTGAGTAGAGTCAGCATCATTTATATGTAGTGCCAAAATATGCTATCAGTCCTTAAGCTCAGACTTTAAAGGTTTTTTACGATCTTTCTGAAGAATCCTTCTAAAGGAGCTCTGGTGGTGCTAGCGATTAAACGTTTGCTCAGCTGCTAACTGAAAGGTTGCCGATCTGAACCACCAGCCACTCCATGGGAAAAAGATGTGAGTCTATTTCCTTAAAGATGTATAGCCTTGGAAACCTTATGGAGCAGTTCCACTCTGTCCTATAGTTTTCCAGTGATTCAAACTCAATGGCAACACGTTTGGGGTATTTTTTGATTTGGGCTCTAAAGAAAACCATTGCTATTAAACCTAGAGAAGCTATCTCAGATGAGTTAAGTTTTGGCCAAAGGAACTCCAGTTTTGAATCTAAAGTTTGCACATGTGGAAAAGTAATGATAATTTTCTGACATCACAAAATTTTTCAGGAAATAGCTTAAGTAGAAATTATTCATCTATTTTAAAATATGTTGTTTTGTTCTGTTTTCTGGAAAGCTAGATTGTAAAATGAGAAGGAAGAAGATTGTTTATGAGTTTTCCTTACTTACTGCTATTGAGTTGGGTCCAACTCATAGTGACCCCTCCTTGGGTTTCCAAGGCGGTATGACTATGGAAGTAGATTGCTCAATCTTGCTTCTGAAGAGTGGCTGGTGGGTTTGAGCTGCCAGCCTTCTGGTTGGCAGTCAAATGCCATAGGCACTACACCACCAGAGCTCCCTTAGCAC